CAGCATCCCACCTCGTTATATTTTGAAAAGGTGGACAAAAGATGCTAAGAGTGGAGTAATGGCTGGTGAAGGAGCAGACCAGATACAAACCAGAGTTCAGCGTTATAACGATTTGTGTAGTCGAGCCATCGAATTAAGCGAGGAAGGTTGTGTGTCAGAAGAAAACTACAGCATCGTATTGCGCACACTAGTCGAGACCCTGAAAAATTGTGTCGATCTGAATAATGCCAGAAACAACATTGCTGAGTCTAGTTGTCAGCTTAATAATGGTGCTCGCGAAGAAGAAAATCAGTTAATGGCAGTAAAAGCAACAAAAAAGAAGACTGTTATCAGGAAAAGAAAGGTGGGCTTTTATTGCAAACCAATGTATTTGATACTCGTGCATGTTCTTAGTTTCAATTTTCAAAGTCTTAAGCTACTCAAATTGATTTTATGCAGGGACAACAAGAAGCTGACCAAATGCTTGAATCTCAACAGAGCTTGCAACCAATGGTTTGTACTTTGATTTGATTTTCTGTGATTAATTTGGTCATTAATACAGTGCATTTTTCTTATATGAGATAAAGAGTAGGATGTCTTGAATATTTTATTTATAGTTGAAACATTTTAATTGTTTGTACAGGAAACTATGAGTTCAGAGGGAATGAGCATGAATGGTTACTATGGTCCTCAACAGAACGTTCAAGGATTGGTATGCTATGTTAGTTAAATTGTTACAAATCTGTTCTAAGCGTTTCGACATCTACCATTACCCTGATACTCAAACCTGTTTTAACATGTGGATATAGTTAAATTTAATGGAGCCACCTCACGAAGGTTACTATGTTAATCAAAGAACCATCCAAGGCCTGGTGAGTTTAGTATATACTTAAATTCTTGAGTCCCCCATATTTATTAGCAGTCTTAAGTATAAGTTAATGATATGATGTGGTTTGCTTTTTTCGACTTTAGGGACAACTGAATTCTATAGCACCGGTGCAGGACAGCTTCTTCACAAATCAGCAAGCCATGCCTGGGCTGGTACATTATAACATCCTCCAAACTGATTATAGAAGCCATGATCTTATTGTAATATGTTTCGTTTTATTGTCTGGCGCAGGGCCAAATGGATTTCAGGCCACCTCCCAATTTCACTTACAATTTACAGGTCTCAGCTGCCTGAATAAATTCTTTAAGTTGATTCACTTTGAATGAGTATTAATGTATTTGTGCTTTAACCACATGTTTTGATTTGATTTTTCTTTCAGGAAGAGCATTTGAGATCTGCCCAATTGCCTGGTAGTTCATCAAGACAGCTATAGTAACACGTCTGATTAGTTTGGAAACATTTTTGCAAGAAGCTGTTTTCAAACATTAGGATAACTCCATATTCCTCCATGGAGTTTTGAGTTGCAATGACAAGATGAAATCGTTTAGATTTGGTTTTCTGTACATTGTGGGGATATTGGCTGGTCTGATTTGGGATCACGTAGAACTATGTAGCCTTGTAACACTTTTATCTTAAAAAGATACGCAAGTCTCCTTTTGTATATCAAGTTCATAAGCAATTTGGAATTCTATTCTTGTTAACATTACTTTAAACACTCAAAAAGTAGTCAAAAGGAGCCAATGAAGAGATGATTAAACTTGAACAAGATTATCTTCAAGTGGAACAAACAATGACTTAATTTACTAAAATTAGAGACAATTAGTTCATAAGTTAAATTGAAATTATTATTATTTTTTAATCGCTAATCCAATCGTGATAAATCCCGTTCAGACACACAACAATCCCTGGTCGGGTCGTGGGGGTTTGGTGGGCGTGTCCCTTTCTTTTTATTCAGACAAGATCAAGAAAATTACCAGAGTTGGTGAAACAAACATTTGCAAAAAAGAAACAACAAATCAAGGTTGAGACTTGAAGAGAGATTGAAATTTTGATGGAGAAAGTGAATCAAACCTTCTTCTTATCTCATGGATCTCCAACTTTAAGCATAGACGATACCTTAGAGGCGAGACAATTCTTCAAATCATGGAGTCAAAAGGTTCTTCCTCAAAAACCCAAATCGATCTTAGTCATCTCTGCTCATTGGGACACCAAGTACCCATCCGTCAACACTGTTCTTCGCAATTCAACGATCCACGATTTCTATGGCTTCCCTGATCCCATGTACAAGGTATAAACCCAAAAAAAAAAACCTAACTTTGGTCATTTCAACAGATTCACACAATAAGATTGTTGAAACGACGCATAAAGTTTTGATTTTTAAATGTTTGATTCTCTCTATTGGGTCGATTTTGAAATGTTTGTAGCTGAAATATGAAGCACCAGGAGCAATTGAATTGGGGAAGAGGGTTAAAGAGTTGTTAATGGGAGAAGGAGGAATGAAACGTGTTGATGAAGATACAAAGAGAGGACTTGATCATGGAGCTTGGGTTCCTCTTATGTTGATGTATCCAGAAGCTGATATACCTGTTTGTGAACTCTCTGTTCAGTCAAAACAAAATGGGAGCTATCATTATAACATGGGTAAAGCATTAGCTCCATTGAAAGATGAAGGTGTTCTTATCATTGGCTCTGGAAGTGCTACTCATAACTTGAGGAAGCTTGACAGAAGTATCACTAATGGCGTCTCGGTTCCTTGGGCTCTGGAGTTTGATCATTGGCTTAGAGATTCTCTCCTTCAAGGAAGGTTTGAAAGTTTGAACCTTTTTTTTGCTGCTTAATGTTACATTCAGTTTTTTGATTAAGTTTGTTTTCAGGTATGGAGATGTGAATGAGTGGGAAGTGAAAGCTCCGAATGCGAAAATGGCGCATCCATGGCCCGAGCATTTGTACCCATTACACGTTGCGATGGGTGCAGCAGGTGAAGATGCAAAGGCAGAGCAAATCCACACAAGTTGGCAACTTGGTACCTTGTCTTATTCTTCTTATAGCTTCACTTCTCCTCTTTGAAACATTTCAGTCTTTATCTTCTTGACTTGTTCTGTCTCTTCTTCGATTAAGCCTTTGTGTGTTCATTTGTCTTTAATGATCCAAATCATGATTCATGTCTTCTATACAAATACAAATCCTCACTGTAATGTATGAACATCCCTTCACTTGTGAATTTGAATAAATTGTGTTATGTATTAGCTTTGTGGTGTTTCATCATCCGCACCTTCAAAATCTCAAGAATTGTGTTCTGTACTGTATTTTAGCCCTGGGCACGAAGCGAATATTCGGAAAATTTGTGATATTTGTTATTTGCTTCGCTTCGATCGAATAGTTGATTTTGCTATTTGCTTCGATTCGTAAATTTTCGAGTATTCGGAACTTCGAATATTCGAATATTTTTCGTAATATTTGCGAATTACTTGCTTCGCTTCG